GATAGGTCCTTGAGGTGCGCCGCAAACTCCGTCGGGTACTGCACGTGCGCGCCCGCAGCCAGTAGCGAACGGATTTTCTTCAGCTAAAAACATAAATAACAGTCAGTATAAGCAGTCTGTATATCGTAAAAGGGGCGTAGTTTGTCGAAAAATTAGCCACGTAGTGTTTTATACCACATACCATTATTTTTAATCATATAGTTAGAAACCTCTCCGCACGACGTACCATATCTTACGCCAAATCCTTTCCATGGCAAGCATTACAATGCTGGCGCCACTGGTTGAAAGGGCGCTTGTGACAAAAACTCAAAACCGAGAAAATAATGTTAAAAAAATTATTACATTAAAAAAATATAAATTTTTCTCTTGAATTAATTTCATACTTTATGCACCTAGAAAACATTAAAATAGTGACAGATCGGCCTTTTTTTAAAAAAAGAATATCACACGCGCCCTTGAAGTAACGACGGCAGTGTGTATGCCGTCGAAACGATAAGAAGATCGTATAGCTTTATTTTCGATTTAGGGAAATGACAATTTTTGGTAGACGTGGCGCTAGGCATACATTTCGACTGACCGGTTTAGAAAAGGGCTTATTCCCAGTCGACACGTGTAGGTTTGTATGTCACCTTACATACTGCTGCCGCCAAGCAGCAATGCCAGCATCACCGCGTTCCGGTTTTGAAGGGTAAGGGTGCTGGTGAAATGACAGGCACAAGGGACTTGTCAACTTACGTCTCAGGGCGACGGGCACAGTGGCAGTGCCCCACAGATCTTTGCAATTTAAAAATGAGTGGTACTGTCAGTTGATATTATAAAAAAGGAGGAGATTCGCTCTGGACCTTTTGGAGGGAAAAGTGTCGTTTTTATTTTGACTTTCAATTATTTTGTGAAATCTAATTTAAAGTGGAATAGGATAGTACTATTGTGCCTTAATCGAAGATTATATGAATCTCGAACTAGAATATCCGTATGGGCCCGTTTTAAGGAATCCCGAGTCAATCCAAACACGCCGCCTCAAATTGCCTATCCTCTTTGTAGCGGCCATATTTACAGAAACAAACTTCATGTTTAGGCTGATGGCTTTGCCAAATAAATTTAAAAAAAAAGGAGGAGGGAAGCGAAGAGGGACCTACCGCGTCGACGCGCTTCTCCCAGTGCGCCGCCTTGTCGCCCACCAGCGCGGCGGCGTGGCGGCACAGGTCGTCCAGGCCGCGGGCGCCGTACACGGCGGCGGGCGCCGAGCACGCGAAGGCCGCCTCGAAGGCCTCCACCGACACGGCGCCCGCCTCGCCGCCCGCCGCGCCCAAGCCCGCCCCCGCGCCCGACGACACTGCAACCCGCGACCCGCAGTTCGTAATGGCCCGTTGAGGCTCTAAGCGCAAAACGTATCTAACCCGCATTCAATTTCTTCGTACAACATTTTAAAATAACACTAAAGTACATGTAAAATATATATCGCACATTACAACTAACATAGTATTATCTCAAAATTGCTTGAGTTATATTAATTTCAAAGCGACAGTGTTGTGCTGTCACTTTAAAATTAAATCGTATACGGATGACATACAAGTATAAACTTTGGAGATAAATTATTAATTGCCAGTGCGATATGTACTTTAACCATTTGACAAAATTATTGGTACCTTTGTTTTATTGTTTACATTACGGGTAGCGATGAACCGCGTGTAATATAAACACTAGAAACTCGAGAACCATATCATATCATTTAAAGTAATAATGTAAAAAAAAAGTTGGATGTGGGTTACACCAATGTTGCGCGGATAGCCTCAATTGTACTGCAAACTAAAAATCAATTAATAAATTGGATATTTCGATTTATTTCATTGAATCATTTGGAATAACAGTTCTTTTTGCGATTTTGCTCCTGATTTTTAGCAAAAAATACGATTCCATACTGAGTGATTACATTTTGATACACAGGATCAGAAAACTATGATCTATATAAATTGCAGTGAATTCCGTACATTAATCATTGGGAAGATTAAGTGGTAGAATGTGGAGTGCAAAAAGTTAAGATTTAAGATGAATTAAAGATACATGTATAATAACGCAACACACTCATAGCCCAGCTAGGGAAACCCTGTATCGCGGATGCCATGGACATATACATAGACAAACACAAATTACACCAAAACTCACGAGAGAAATAAATGTAGGCCATACAAATATTCCTTTCTACCTGAGAATCGAACCCAGGACCTCTGCGTGACTGCGCGAAGCAGTTTTGAGAAAGACAGTTAACTATGTAAGTTGAAGGCAATTCTTCCTCTCGTATGATCATAATTATATTGTACAAGCGTCCTATATCAAAATTTATCTCTATCACAACTGTCCGTTGTCTATGTCTGTCGACGACACTATTTTTGTATAATTAAAAATGCCAGTGTACGTTAACGAAGAATTTGCACCTACGAGTAAATTGATGTAATAAAAAAAGCAAACATTTAATATATCTACTGTTAAAAATCTGATACACATACCGCTCCCAGCGCTGGTCAACTTAGCAGGCGGTGGTGGTTTTCTATTGGCTGATGGTAGACTGTATAAACCACCCACTACTCTCTTTGGCACTTCACAAGCTATTGCAGTCCAATTGCAATAGCATAACCGATCGTTCCAATATTCAGAAGTTTGCACCAATATTGAGTGGTCCACACCAATATTGTAATATGATTTAATGTGAAATGTTGCACATTATTAATGCAATTTTTTATTTTATATATGATAATGCGTTTATTGTAATACAAGTGTATATTTTTAAAATAATAATAGAAAATGGAAATAAAGTTTCAGATATAAAATAAATGGAGAATATTAAGAAAATGTTGTTTAATAAAAGGGGTGCCAACAATGGAAACAATAAATAGAGATAGAAAATAAATAATAATTTGATTAAATAAATAAATTAATCAGATGTGAATTAAATAATAATAATAAATATTACATGAAATTATTATTATAATAAATAAAAATTAGAATGATGTATTAGAATGAATTGATATTAGATCACCAAGTGGTTTAGTCCGATGGATGGAGTTAGAGATGTTTCGTTGGTCCACGGTTAGTTCCAAGTTGCGTTCCGTGATGGTCCAAGGTGAAAAGGTCGACGGTTTACGTGAAAAAGAAAATTGAATGTTAGTTTTATTACTCGATTACGGCGCAGCAAAAAAGGTGGGTTACGATTATAGAAGCGTATGTATGTAGTGTGTCATTTGTTCTCTTGCAGAGACTAAATTAATTAACCGATTTCAGCAAGGCTTTCCGCTTTGTACGATTTGGTCGTGTTATTATCACCTCGAAAATCTTGTAATATTGTCAATGGTGGTGCTTCATATCATCGTTACGTCTTATTTCAGTTTATAAATGAAAGTAAACCTTATACCCCTGTAATATGGTCCCTTCTTTTTCGGAGAACTAAGTACACATCACGAATTTGTCGTCGTAGCTATTGACCACTAGATGACAGCACATTGATTGAAACTTTCATATAAAACTAAAACGTCGTAACTTGCAATAATAGATATTGTACTTTTAGATATTGTACTTTGCAATGCCAATAGGGTAAAGATTAAATTACGATCTATCATCATCAAGATTTCATAGTCTTTCAAATTATGAATGTGTGAGGCTTAAGTCTCTTCCATTATTTTTTCTTCCTTGATCCAGAACAACTTGAAATGTTGAAATTCAACAAAAATCAACCTACTGTATATGACATGAAGGTGCATTTTTCAATTGCTCTTTTAAGTTTACCATAAATTCATTGATTTGAAAGTTTACAGTCGTATTATGAATGGAAGAACAACGCATGTTAATAGTTATTTAAAATGATTTGAAGATGAACAAGAACTGACCTGGCGTCGATGCGCCGGAGCTGTCCCCCTCCCGGCCCCTGGCGGAGGTGGGGATGGCCATGGTACGCTTGGCCGTGCGGAATACGAAGTCTGCCTCGTCCACGCTCTGCATAGCTGCAAACAAAAGATGAAGATCGATTATGTCATCGATATACGAGGGGAGGTCCAAAAGTCCGCGGAATGGAGGGGGCGGGAGCCCGCTAATTACTCTTGCTTGATGTGGTACTAATCAGATACTCATTAGGGGTATATATATCAAGCTTCACCCTTTTAACTTCATTAGTTTACGAGATATCGCCCTACAAACAAGTAAATCCGGAAGAAAACTGCAAATATGGAGCAAATCGAGTTTCGTGCTGTCATCAAATTCCTTACCAAGCAAGGAAAACCTCCTCAAACCATTATGAATGAGATGGAAACTGTTTATGGGGATCAGTGCCGTGGTAAAATAATGATTTACAAGTGGCACGGTCTTTTCAAACATGGCAGAGAATCAATTGAAGACGATCCTCGCCCAGGACGGCCAGTTGAGGCCACCACATCAGACAATGTTGAAAAAATCGAAAAATTTATATTGGAAGATGCCCGTTGAAGAAGAAACAGCTGTCTGCATTAGTAGGAGTATCAGACACTACCATTTTGAGGATCCTACACGATCATCTTGGCATGACAAAAGTCAGTGCAAGATGGGTGCCGAGAATGCTCACGCCGCCTCAAAAGCAACAAAGAATCGATGCATCAAAGCACTTCTTGGAGCTGTGTGGCGCAGAACTACCCCAATTTTGGAGCAAATTGTTACTGGAGATGAAACTTGGGTTCATCACTTTGAGCCCGAGTCCAAACAGGAGTCAATGCAATGGCATAAAAAGGGTACACCACCCCCTAAGAAGTTTAAGGTGTCGGAACCGGCTGGAAAAATCATGGCTACGGTTTTTTGGGATTGTGCAGGAATTTTATTGGTTGACTACAAAGAAAAGGGGGTCAATATAACGGGAGAATATTACGCAAGAACATTAGAGAGACTGAAGGAAGCTGTCAAAGAAAAAAGGCGGGGAAAATGGACAAAGGGTGTGTTGCTTTTGCAAGACAACGCACCGGTTCACAAGAGCAATGTTGCGATGGCTGCTCTACACAAGTGTGGCTTTCAATCGCTGACCCACCCACCTTACAGCCCGGACCTAGCCCCCAGCGATTATTATTTGTTCCCAAATTTGAAAAAAGAATTACGTGGGAAAAAATTTCGCGACGATGAAGAGGTTAAGGCGGCAATTTTAGCTCATTTTGAGAGCAAAGAGAAAAAATATTTTTTCGATGGCATAGAAAAGCTAATTTCGAGATCTAAAAAATGTATTGAGCTCAAAGGTAATTATATTGAAAAGGAAAAATAGCCTTATTGTTTTATATTATTTACAACCCCTCCATTCCGCGGACTTTTGGACCTCCCCTCGTACAATCTAAAAAAGAATCAAGATTTTTCGAAGATAAATATGAAATATATTATTTTATACCACAATATAAAACCACTCTACAGAAATAAAGTAAATACTATCGCTGTTAGTTGAAAGGGCGCATGTGACACTTACATTAAAAATATATATATACAGCCGCAATCAGTAAGCAAATGGCTGCCACTATTTTTACTTTTTCTTATGTGGATAAGGTATGAAGTTACCACACGAGAAAAGTAGATATTTATTTGATTTTGTTTCTTTAAACATTTCTTTTCCCGGTTTTGAGTTTTGTCATAGGTGTTAATAGCTAGCATTTTAAAAGATAATACTAATTTAAATAAACAAAAGATTATTCCACATTTGTTTAGTGATAATTTTATTTATAAAATAGGTTTTTATTTACAACGTAGAAATTCAAGAGTTCGTCCGTAGAAGTATTGTCACCTTACCTATTTCTGGCGCCAAGCAGTAATGTGATCATTAAAACAGTTGTGAAAAAATAAAACATTCTCCACTCAAAAATCTTTCGAAATGGCGCTTTCGCTCTTTCTACAAAACACTGCCGATATAGTTTGAGTTTATATTAAACACCTTGTTTGAAGAACGTTTTCGCTCAAGAGTAGTGATTCTCTAAATGATTTTTTTTACTTTACGACAAATGTCAAAAACAATAAGATTAATTCTCCTAACAAGACTATCTATGGTTGAACCACTCACCAGTGGGTAAAAGCAAGCCCGCTTCTCTAGTCTCATCAAACTTCTGTTCTAGCAAGGCCATCTTCTGTGCTGGCACCAATTCTTTCTTCTTCAAATCCGAGCGTAGTTTTTCACCTAGAAACAAAAAAAAAACACACTGTACCTATGGGTAAAACCATCGAGTATATAACCAGAAATAGAGACGAAATGTCATTTAATTTGTTTGAAAACTATTCTGCCAAATCATTACGGTGACAACTGCGCTTCGATTGGCCAGCCCGAATTCGAAACAATTGACGGGTTCGTCGTTTGTTTCAATTCAAATCGACCAGTTTAACTTTAACTTTGCTATAATGGACGAAATTTGAAAATTTACACAATTTAATGTTTAATTACCGATGAAATGTGATTCCGTTTGTTTTGTAATTAATTGTTTTGCTGTTTTTTTCCACACCATGGAATGGAACAGTCCCCCATAGTTAGAGATGTTATCTTTATCACAATAAATACAGAATATTTTTGAAATATACGGAGACGTACACACGTCAGTTGGCGCTGTACTATTTCAGTGTACTTGTGATTTTAGCGAAAACGAGAGTTGATATTTAAAAGTGATATAAGGACTATTTACCTGATGAGTTGCCAGTGATGGATGGCCCTTATTTCGTCTCTATTTCTGGTTATATATTCGATGGGTAAAACACAAAATTGTAATTTCCATATCGACCCTTCCTACGTAAAGTATCGTATGTCGAAATTGCCAAGTTTACAGTGGAGCGTTTTAAAGTTCTGAATTCGAGAACTTTAAGAATGCGAGATGGATTCTTTTAATCAGTGGTCCTTGTGATAGTAGCGAAAAAAACGTCGGTGATGAATGACGCCTCTCGACACAAGCGAAACGCGCAACGTCTTTTTCTTTCTAAAGAGGTATATGTAAAGTACCTATTGAAACCTATACAGCGGTTTCCTTGTAAAATTTCGTGGTAAACAAATTTTTAGGAATTGTGTTTTCACAACTACCACCGTGGCCGAATGGTTACCATACCGGACTGCCACGCAGAGGTCCCCGGGTTCGATTCCCGGGCCGGGAGAAATATTTGTATGGCCTACATTTATTTCTCTCGTGAGTTTGGGTGTAATTTGTGGTTGTCTATGTGTGTGTCCATGGTACCCGCGACACAGGGTTTCCCTAGTGCGGGGCTATGTTGAGTGTGTGCGTTATTATTATTATTATTATTATTATTATTATTACCATATAGTAATCAGTGATTGATTCAACACTTCCACTGTTTTACGGAATCTACCAAAGCCATTTGAGGTAGTATAGACTCTTGATGCACGAACATAAAGTTTTTTCTAAGAGATTCCGCATTCAAAATTCAAAATAATCTTTATTTCATAGGTAAGCATTATTACACTTGAAATCGTCACAATGGTTAAACTCTACCGCTCATTCGTAAGGCAGATTCCCCTGAGAAGAATGAGCAAAAAACTCTAGGGGTTGCTCTTCGTAAATAACATTTACAATATTTTTTTTTTATTTGAAACATCACAGATCGAGACTACCTCCATGAGCTAAACGGGTTACTACCACGGATTTTTGTCATCCAAGTACGCAGAAGTTGTATAATAAATAACCTTTAGTATAAAGTTTTTGTTTCACTATAGTTTTAAACCTCGTGAAAGGCAAATTTTGTATATCAACCGGAATCTTGTTATAGAAGCGTATACATCGCCCCTTAAATGATTTTTTGACTTTGTGATAATTGTGACATTGATAAGCACAGTGAGACCCTATCAGAGCAACGAATGTAACTCCGAGGTAATACGCAGACCAGAAAACATTTAGAAAAGTTGAATCAATCGTTTGAGTATATAGTACCAGCATTTAGTCAAGAGGATTGCTATTCACGATACAAAACAGCGTAATCGGGTATTTAGTACCCATTGTAGCGAATAGCTTTCTCATTTTTGTAGGTTTTGGCTTTTGCCCCACTGAGGACAATACTCCCAGTATCTGAGTGGTTTAAATCTGACGGCCAGTGTCACTGAAGAAAAATATAAATAGTCATGTTTGTGACTATAGTACCGGCAAGCTAAGATGCCGTTTTGACGTTTGTCCGCTCATCATGTTTCGTATTAATTCATAATTACGTTGAAGGAGCTTCATTGCTGTATATTGTTGTTGTGACGTGCAGTAAAATTTATGTATGTATAATTTTAAGACACAACTCGGCATTTGTTTTCAGAAATTAGAAATTAAAAAAAAAATCTAATACGATCCTCACTTATAGGATCGCTGTCCAGCACAACTTCTACCTCCGGCAAACTCGCGTCAAAGCTCAATGCAAAACAAAACAGTTTCAAATTGACGATATATTAAGTAAATATTTTTACTTTCGTTTTATTAAAACTTTCTAATCAGCTACCCCTGCAATACTAGTTATAAATCTAGAAACTTATAGATGCGACTCGCATTTCTTCTTCTTTTAAATGCTATGGCTCCATAAGAAATAATCAATGATTTCGCCAATGTCAAGTAAAAATTACTATGTACGGTAGTTTTGTAAAAATATGACTTCTTGTCCTTCTTCATTTCATCATTTTTTTTCGATAATGAATTGAGATTTGACGTCACTATTGCAATCTGTCAAAACGGCCATCATAGCGTACATTGATAAGTTGCAATTTATCAAATACTCTATTTTCTAGTGATAACAAACAAATCAACTAGATGGCGCTTATTGCACAGATTCTTATGAATAGTGTCGGCTATTCTTTTATTCTGTTTAGGATTAGCTCCATCTACCCATATTAGGAACAGTTAATTTATAAATTAATTTGTAACACACAATGCCACCTATTGACACGCATGCGTTTTGTCAAATTTAAGAAAATTATTTTATTTTTACGAAACTACCATATATATACAAAATTATCATCGATTATTTCGATGGACCCATAGCATTTAAAAGAAGAAGAAGAACTCATGACCAATATTTAAATAATATTACAAGGAAAAAAGACTGACTATTTGTGTTTTATATAAAAGAAGAATTAATTGATATCCACAATTATTTACATATGTAATAATCATTGACTTACAATATATATGGACGACGGGTCTAATACAAAAACCACGAAAAAAATGTCCCAAGTCAACCTATTTAAACGTAGTGACATGTAAAGGAATATGAAAAAGCTAAAACGTTGAATTTAAATTGTAATGTCATCGCAGTACTGTCTAATTTTGCTTGCTTCGCTGTCAGTCGAACAAACGAAGACTAAAGCGTGAATGACGCTCTGTATACGATTTTAACGCCCTATAAGTTCGGACACTTTTTAGCGCGGACCCGACGTCCATATAATTGTAAATCAATGGTAATAATGTAATTTATATTAAGAGGAATAGTAATTTCTTCATGAAAAATAGTGACAGACATAACATTAATGCGAGGAATAAAAATAAACTAGCTGTTCTTGATAGTCGTTTTCACAAAGTCAAAAAATCATTTAAGGGGCAATGTACATGCTTTTATAACAAGATTCCGGTTGATATACAAAATTCGCCATTCACGAGGTTTAAAACTACAGTGAAGCAAAACTTTATACTAAAGGCTATTTATACGACTTGGATGACAAAATCCGTGGTAGTAACTCGTTTAGCTCATGGAGTCTCGATCTTTGACGTTTGAAAGCAAAACAAAAAATATATTGGAAATGTTGAATGTGTACAAATGTTATTTACAAAGAGCAACCCTTAGAGTTTCTTGCTCATTCTTGTCAGGGGAATCTGCCTCACGAATGAGCGGTAGAGTTTAACCAATGTGGCGATTTCAAGTGTAATAATGCCTACCTATGAAATAAAGATTATTTTGAATTTGATAAACGACTTCCAGGCTACTTAGATATAAGCACTGTTTAGATATAAGACGGAAATTTGACCTTTCTCAGAATTACGATCCGTAATTACAGTCCTCTCGAGTTATGGGTACATGATTTGAGTAATACATACCGACGTGTCTGTAGACATCCACCAACAGCTGCATAGCCGCGTCGCGAACAGCCGAGTTGGGGTCGCCAACCAGGGCCGCCAGTGTTGGAACTGCACCTCGCAGCTGGAGTTCAGCCGCTCCGTGACTGCAATACAATATTTACTTATTATATATAAAAGGTTGTTATTGAAGAGATCAAATTCTTGCGAAGGCGCGATATGGGCAGACCACTCTCAAAGAAGTAGAGGTTCTTATGAAAGAGTTAGGTCAGGGAAATACTGCCACATTACCTATTTCTGCTGCAGTAATGTGAGCATTAGGCGCGTTCCCATAATGTCGTGACGACAGATAGTCGTGCAGTTTAAAGTGTCGTGGCTTGTATAATAATAATAAATTCTTTATTTTCTCACCACAATACAATACAGTGAACATAATAAAAGTACAAACTATACTATGATAAACCAGGCTCAGCCTGTGTTTCAGATCACCAAGTCTCCAACCCTCGGGAATACATTTCTATGGGTAACATTAACGCAATAAGACACGGTTTACTCGATGCTGCTTGAGTGAAATAAAATCGATTTCAAAATTAACTGATTTAAATTTAAGAAGTTAAAAATATAGAATTTATACATAAAAGTCTAGAATCTAAGTGTTAATAAGGTTAGTACTTTAGCGCGCGCGAGTGTTGTCGTGTGTGAGTACGTGTGCTTGCGTGTGTCTGTGTGAAAAATGTTAAACTATGTATTTGAAAATTTTTTATTTTTTTAAATTTTTTTTCATGTATATTTAAATGAAGTTGTTCACAACACGATTCACTGTCGTTTTCACGTCTTTTTTGACGTTACGATGACAGACTGTCAAGACAATGGGAAGAGCTAGAACGACAGTCGTCAGACGACAAATAAAACGTCACGATAAAAATTTAACGACAGATAATCGCAGCTACTATTGTCGTCACGTTTTATTTATCGTTGTCTGCACGTGTTCTGCTCCACACTCTCCCCTCTCGTCACATCTCGTCGTTCAATTTCATCCATTTCCATTTCCCATGAGAGCGAACACACATTATTGATGCAGTATAGATAGACTATATTTATAGTCTAACTGCAATATAATAATAATAATAAAGACTTTTATTTCAGAACTTATAAATTCCATATATTGTTAGTAAAAAAGAACTTAAAACACACTATGTTAGTACTTACAGGTAAATAATACAGATTACATTAGATACATTACATCACATTACATTTACATTCTCTATTTAATTTGTCCTATGACCCTCCTAATCAAATGAATTAGGATAGGACTGTCAAATCTATGGACAAGCGTATTCAGGATGCTATTGCGGCTACCACGTGCACGGTGGAGAAAAGAGGCGGCCTTTTTTCGCATTATAGCGTGAAAGCCGTCTGAGCGCGCCTCAGCGAACATTCCTGACGCGCTGCAGTGACGTGGTAGCCTCATCAGCATCCTGAACGCGTTGTTATATTGAACGCGTAGGTTGTTGTAAGCTCGTTTCGTGTACTGACACCACAGACTGCTCGAGTAAAAAGATGTACAGTAAGCTTTGAAAAGCGTTAATTTAACATTAAACGAGCATCGAGCGAATCTGCGTGTCAGCACATTACTCCTCACTGCCAACGCCCTGCGCTCCCTTTCCACGTCTAGGTCATCCTTCAACTCGTCCGTTAACATGTGACCCAGGTACTTAAACCTGTCAACCACTCGCAATGCAGTACCGGCCAGTACAACCGAAGGCACATTTACCGGATTGAATTTGCTTGACTTGAAAATGAGCACTTCACTCTTTTTAGAGTTGTACTTTAGTCCATGTGCAGCCGCATACCTTTCACAAGTGGCTACAAGCTTTACAATCGAGCCGATCGAAGGGCCCAGCAGCACCATGTCATCTGCGTAGCTTATGTTATTGACACAGGTTCCGTCAACATGGCATCCGACATGCATGCCACTAAGCTCCTCGATCAGCCGGTCTATATAAAGGTTAAAGAGTGTCGGTGATGACAATCCTCCCTGTCTCACACCGCACTCAAGCCTATACTCTTCAGACATAGCGTCGGCCCATCTCACCTGGTTCACTTGGTTTTGATACCAAAACCTAAACAGCTCAATGCATTCCCTCGGCACACTGGTGTCCCTCAACTTGCTCCAAAGTATCTCATAGTTTACCAAGTCAAAAGCCTTTGACAAGTCCAGGAAACACGCGTACACCGGGGTTTTTCTATTAGTGTAGCACTTGACAGTCTGCTTAAGACAGAAAATCGCACTTTCAGTTGAAAGTCCAGGCCGGAACCCAAACTGTGCATCATGTAATTTTATATGTTTATTTAACTGATCATTAAGCAAACTGTCAAGCACCTTGGCCATTATAGTAGCAAGTGAGATGGGACGATAGTTGGCAGTGTCCGACACATCACCAGTCTTATTCTTTGTGATCGGGACCACAACCGTCCGCATCAGGGGCTCCGGCAGGTAAGAATGTCGAAGGCACAACGTAAAAAACATCGACAACACCCGTGGCAAATACACGCCGGCGTATCATATATATATAATATGTCGTGCCTAATTGCTTAGTTAGCAATTAAGTTTTATTTTAGATTGTATATTTTGTCACTGATATTCTGGAGACCGTAACATGTCTCTTTAAATCTACGTATTTCACTCTATCATCACATCCATCCCTTTTCATATAATGAGACTGACTTCGAAAAGTTCATAGAGGCGAGTGCATCAAACGATTCTGTCGAGAACCGATAAATTGTCGTCACGATCCAGTGGGAACAGCTAGACACGACAGTCGTTCAACGATAAAAAATGCACGACAGTCACGAGAGACAGTCGAGATATGGGAACAGGCTAGAAGTGGCAGTCGTCTAACCATAAATAAAACGTTACGACACTAAGGGAACGCGCCCTTACCGTGTTCAAGTTTTGACGGAAACATGGGACTTTGTCAACTATATCTGAGAGAAATGGTGCCGGGCGCAGAAGCAGTGCCCTTCTGGTCGTTGCGATTTACATCTTTGGAGTGGTACTTTACTGGTAAGAGTGTCTCTTACGACCAGGCGTACTTGTTCAACCCGTCCCTTGACATAATTTTAAAAAATCCAACCGCTTCAAATTGTTAGCGAGACTGGAATTAACCCGTTTACTGACAAAACAATTGGGATTGGAGGCCACATCCCACGTGCCAGTGATCTCGTGTGTCAGATCTAAATACTTCCGCCATTATTATTATAAGCTTCACGGATGATTACCGCCGCATGGCCTTCGAGAGTCTTCTATGCATGCGAGCATTTAGTAGCAGTAGAGCACCTTGTGAAAGAGTTCATCTAGGGAAGTAGTGTCACCATACCCACTTATTGCGTTTCGGTTTTAAAGGGATGAGACAACAGAAGGTGTTGATGAACCCTGGGTTATATATTATAAGTGAGCGTGTGCTATTTCGTTCTCACTTATGCTCTGGCCACATAGAAACGGGAGCGAGAGCGTTCAGGGCGCGAGAATTGTTGTAATGTTCGAGTTCTTATGAAGCCTTGCTGATTGGAACCGGCGGCACGAGGCGTTCGCGGTCCGCGGTCGAATGCTATGGGCTCATTCAGGTTGCAAGCGGGTGCTGGCGCGCGGCCATTGTCGTCTACCCTTTTACAGCGCTGAAGCAGCTTCGAGCGGGTAGATCCATACGGCGAAATCGCAAACAGACGCTAGACGCTAGACCAAGCACTGTGAAAGGTACGGGCGGACCGAGCCAATAGATCTACCTGCGCCCGCGCCCGCCTCGAGAAAGGCGCCGGCGCGCGCGGCCACTGCGAACGCAACGAGCGTCTACGTACATTTGATTTACACGCCACTCTGAATAAGGCTTATGACAAACAGGCGGACCGGGTGCGGGCAAAACGCGGGGCGGGTACGGACGCGGGAGTTGTATTCCAATGAGTTCTATGCAACAGTCCACAGAGAGTGGTAGCAGCGGGGCGCGGGGCTTTAGCGGAACGTTAGCGGGCTTGGACGTTGTATTTTTTCACAACTCTAAAGTATGTTTTTATTAATTTTCAATGTGAATTCGATCGAAATTTAAAAAAAACAGAAAATTTTCTTAATCTTTATCCGACAGCGACTTGGTGCTTTCTTTAAGATCTATGTAGAAAACGAAACGTGGCCGCTTTTGGTGACACACTGGCCGCCTTCACGCCACTATTCCGCTGCGAACTCGATAAAAAAACATACTAGCTAGAAGAATACAATTCCTTCTAGCTTTCAAGAATAAAAATACAAGGTGGCTCGTATTATATATAGTATTGCCGACTTCACGATTAAAAATTAACTCCTCTAGTACCTACAGTTCTTCTATTACAATTTATAATAAACTACCTGAAAATATAAAAAATGAAAACAATGACAACATTTTCATAAAAAAATTAAAACTATTTTTATCCGAAAAATGTTATTACACTATTAACGAATATTTAATAGATAATACATTCAGAGGCCACGCAAAATGATGATAAATATTAAGGTTGTTTTTAAATTAAATTTTATAACAATATAATATAGTATTTAGTACCTATGATAAATAAGAATAGAATACTTGCTATATATATAAAATACTACTATAAAATTGCGCTTCCTCTCTCCTAGCTCCTATGTTGCGTGCCCGACAGGGCCCATAATACTGGTCTCACTACATTTGTAACATCTTATTATGTACATTATGGTTTTGCAATACATTATTATTATTATTATATGTCCGGGAGCGTAAACTGATGTCCGCTAACTAAATCCATTTTTTGAGATATCATAAAAAACCATAACCCAGTTTTAGAATATTGACATTGTTTAATAATATTTCAGCTATGCATCGTTAGAGTAAGTTCCGGTAAGTCGAAAACGTTAACTAATTTGGACTGTTTTTAAAAGAGAATTTAGTGCAATATATAAATCATTACTTACGTATCAAGTAAAGTCTGTATACACCGAATGGCCTCCTCCCTCGCGTGAGCGGCTTTGTGTTGCGTGGTTGGAGTCAGCCTGGCCAACAACGCGCGCGGGGCAGCGGCTCTGCTCTCGCCTAGGGCCGCGATGCACAGGCGGGCCATATGTCGAACACCTTCCTTTGTGTCCGCCAACCTGGAATACAAGTAGAAAGGTCACAGATACATTCCAATTTAAAAGCACCCTTTATCTTCACAAGAGTTATTTTTAATGATATCCCAGTGTCGTGCGTCTGGTGGCAAGTGACACGGCTACCCATAACAGTTGCAGTGCCAAGCGGATCTGAGGGGGACTGCCACTGCGTCCGTCACGTAGCATGGGCTTGCATTCCTACCCTTCTAAATTGAAACGTAGTGCTCATTTTACTGCTTGGCGGCAGAAATAGGTAAGGTGGCAGTGCTTCACGGGACGAACCCTGTCACTAGGAGCTCCACTGCTGCTAAATATTCACTTGATATCACAAAAAAATGATTTTGTGTACATATTGGGTTAGGGAGTATTTTAATTTGTCTGTTTGGATTCTATTAAATGGGCTGACGTGTGTAATAATGATCAAAGCTAAATAAATAGAATTAAAAAAAGGTCTTGCAATAAATTATAAAAAAGATATGTAAACAGGTCAAGAGCACCTCAACGTTAAGACACGATGACGTCAGAGCAATCATTTACAGGTTCGGTGAAGCGCGCGCCATTACAATGGGCGAGTCTGTCATTGTATTGTTTTAAGGCGTACCGCTTTTTAAGGACGTACAGAATAGTGTTTAATGCGTAACTCGTTTTGTTGTATACTAGTTGAAAAGAGAGACGAGAGAACAATTAGATTATTAATAAAAAGATGGCACACACAGAACATTTTCTTCGACCCGATGAGACATGAACCCGTGACAACGCTGTAGCGCTGCTCTATATCAATTGAGCTACAGGTCAAGTTACCCCGAGCTGTCGAAAATCTCCCGTGTTTTTATTACAGATTTGTATTAATACAAAAATTGAAGACGGTGTAAAATGGAATTTGTAGGGTTGCCAGTTTTCATAAAATTTTAAACAGTCTTGTAGTTGTTGTCGACAATTTTATCGATAGATTGTGAAATGAGGTAAAAATTTTGCCAATAAATGTCTGAATTGTGAAAGTTACACCATTGTAATGATTACTAATTACGTTCCTGTCTTCTTCATTCTTATTTTGATAGTTGGCTAGTAGTATCGAAATAGATTTTTATTAATATACATTTCAACAAGAACAGGCGGATTTGATTGTCTGGATAATCTATATTAAATTAAAATGAAAAACTTTAAAATAGTATGTCTCATTTTTATATTTTTTTAATAAACCGAATTCAAACTCCACTTATTTGCCACACACAAAAAAATAAACATAAAACAAATGAAAAGTCTAACATATAAATAGTAAAAATACAAAACTATATCTATGGTTACAGATGTGTGGGGAGGATTGTGAGCTCAGTACATTTTCAGCCAGAACCTCCCTGGCAGGAGCTACGGTCTCACGTTTGTGTAACAGGCAATTTATGGAACACAATTAGTACAGACCTTGAATTAAGCTATTTGAGGAGCGCGAAAGTAGAAAAGAAAATAAAATAATAATTTACACAATAAAACCCGATGAGCGATTGTCAAGTTTAAATTTCCTTAGATGGGAAAGAGTGGAATAAAAAAAAGAACAAAATAAATGTTTGACGGGAAAAAACAGTTATCCTAAACGGAAACTTACAAAATAGGTACGTCTAAAATTTACAACAAACTTTGATGACCCTGGGGTGATTTAGCATCTTCCTTTTCAGCAGTTAAAATATTTTTTTCGGTTTGGACTTTAAAGTTTGCTGGGACATAGTTTCATGCAAGGGTGGACATAGTTTTAAATGCAGTGTATGTAATTGACAATTGCAATGAACTTGTGCCCAGTAGCTGTACGAATAATGGGTCGAGGATGATTCAAATGAAGCGATTCCATAAGCGTGACCAATATTCAGTCGATGGTCGATAGAATATTTATCGACTGCAATCACTAGCTACTCGAAAGCGGGCAACACTACAACAGTAGCAATATAGACCGAATTTATATAAACGAGTACACACGAAACATGGAACGAGTAGGTCTCAGGATGAACTTTCTTTTTTATATAACATCAAGTGACGGGACGAACAAGTCGTACGCCTGATGGTAAGCAACACGCCTGTCCATAACAGTTACAGTACCACTCAGAGCTTTAAATTGCAAAGATCTGAAGGGCTAATGTTCACAGTCCTAATTGGAGGCAGAAATAGGTAAAGTGGTAGTACTACCCTGGACGTACTCTTTCACAAGGAGCGCTACTGCTTCTAAACTTGGACAAAACGAAAGATATGTTCAAAGCACATGTGACCCGGGACCTGCAACCGTAGGTGGGCAACTTTTGAGGTTGTGCATAATTACGTGTACCTTGGCCAAAATATCGGGCATGGCAAGCATAACTTCGAGAAGGAAGCCGACAGGGAGGCATTTGGGAAGCTTGGCTAGTCACCTCTTCAGGTCGTCAATACCACAAAGCCTCCCGATTAAATTAGTCTTCAAATTAAAAAAGCCGTTTTGACATCAGTCCATCCGTTTAGAGAGCTATGATGTCAGAGGATACACTGACACAGGCTTGAACAGAGGGGTATGTTTGCATCAGAGGTTAAAAACAGACTCACCTGTCGATGATGTGCGGCAAAATGGTTGGCACGAACGCAGATAACTCCGGGCCCATGCGCTCAGAAAGCGCCACCAGCACCTCCAGACCGTTCTGGGCCACCTGTAAAGAGAACAAAATGTTACACTGTGTTTCTGGTAATATTAGGCAATCATTAATCAGTCAGAACGCTGTTGAGGGGCCCAACAACATTCTGACTGTAGTAGCGGATAAAGTAGACTGCCCCATTCAGGCCCATTGGATGCGGCTTCACGTGGCAGTTTAGATTAAGAGTCTATACTACCTCAGCTCTAATCCAAATGTTTCCCGTACTAATAAGGTTCATTTTGCTTGGGTCGAGCGACAGGGACACTGGCTTTATTTCAGAATTTGTTTTTTTACAATGACTTATTTTGAACCCCCTAGACGTTTTTACTGGGGTTGTCTGAAAGTAATTGTTTATGCAAAACCGATTTAAATTAGCCTCTTTTTAGAAAAGCCAAGATTATTTTTTTTTAAGAAGGATGACGTAGAAGGTTTTAGACTTCTCGCTGGTTATTTTGTCTACGACTGGGACTTGACTAGCTCGTGCTTTTTAGTGTAACGTTCAAAAACATGGATGAATATTTACCGGTACTAACTAAGTCATAAATATAACAATATTTACGACTTAGTTTAAGAGAAAAATAATAGATACGTATTATTCATGTACGAAAATAAATAAAGACATTATAAGTAATAAATTCAAAAAACAAAATGTCAAAATAACGTTTGTAATACGATATAGCCAGCTAGACTTCGGGCAGAAGACAGCCAGTGACACGTGACCGTTGACTGGCTGGTATTACCAGTTCATAATACGAAATTACAAGGCAGCAAAACAAAGATTTGCAACAAGAGCATACAACAAGTCGTAAGATCTTCTATAATATATAATAATGTCAGAGTTTAGTGGAGTAATTTCACAAAAAAAAAAAATTGAATATCATGGTAGTCAAACATGTAAATAAAATTACAACCCACCTATTTCCATAAATATGTTCCATCCACAAGTCAAACAAATCATACACAAGTAAGTTTTTTCGCTTCACTAAATTCAAATGTTAGAATTAACACAAAAACAAAGCCATCGCTGTCAAAACGCTTCACGAAACGGATTATTGCAAACGGTAACTGCTAGCAAAGAGACGTGGTTACTACGGCTAGTGAGCTTATTCTGATCGAGCCCGCACGGTATCGCTTTACGGAAATTTCTAATGGCGATTTTATTATGTCAACGTTCAATAAGTTTATGGGCTTGTGTGTAAATTTGGTTCGAATCGTTGGCTTATTCTGTGATCGTATGCGAAACGGATATTGCGCCATAATTTGGACATTTTGCATTATGGACATTTTGAAATTGGATCTGTAGTTGAAAGTACTTTTTCCAAGTTGGAAATCCAATAAATCTGATTCAGCCCCTAATTCGCTACCCTTAGAAGTGGAATATTTTCTTTAAATTTAAATGGGTACCCTGTTTCCGACAAAAAAATATATAATCAAAATATGTTCACAAAGTTCACAAAAAAGGACGGAGTGATCGCGTATTATTGTTATGTAGAAATTTCTTCCAGTCAAATTTAGGACATGCAAAAGACATCTTGCAACTGATCTTGACAATAACACACGTTTACCAGAATACTCATGCGCACGCAATGAACCGCAGCGCAGCTGAATTAGAGTGTGCAAGATATATACATGTTTTTCTGTCGAGATCTGCTGGCTACTACAGGAAATTACAGGCTAGGTATTGCGTTAGGTTTTTCTTGGTACCTATCCAGGTATTAAATAAATAAATATTAGACAGCTTCACATACATTGCTGTGATCCTGTGATGTGGTGAGCACTTGTGTTATCGGAAGTAAGTTGCGGCTAAAAATACAGAGGATATTTGGGAAGTGTCCGTAAAACTTTGTAAATCTGTTACTGATACCTTAGCCCCATACTTAGCACACGTGTTTATTCTTAGTATTACTAATTACGTCTTTCCTGATTTACTAAAACATAGTACCACTTTATTTAAGTCAGGGGATAATACAAACCCTGGCAACTAGACCTGTTTCAGTGTTACCTGTGCTCAGCAAGGTTTTTTGAACAAATCATGCACAGTTAGATATTGTTACATTTTAATCATAATAGCTTAAAACAGAGTTTGGTTTCACGAAAGGACGCTCAACAACTGACGCGGGGGTGGCCTTATTACAACGAATATTCGACGCGTGGAAGGAGTCCCAAGATGCCATCGGTATCTTCTGCGACCTAACTAAAGCATTTGATTATGTACATCAGTAGACATTGCTGAGCAACTTAATGCACTATTAGTTTCGATGACACATCTGTCTTTACTTAAATCATATTTGAAAAATCGGGTTCAAAAAGTGCATATAAATGAATCAAAGTCTGCAGGAGCTTTGGTTGCCATGGGTGTTCCTCGAGGTTCTATATTGGGTCCCCTTCTTTTCATAATCTATATAAGCGACTTGTCTAATTCGGTATTTTACTGATATCGTCGTGTTTGCCGATGATACTTCACTTATTTTTAAAATGCCAAGACAAAAAGTGGGCATAGACAAGGTAAATATAGGTCTGTCGAAGGTTTTCGATTGGTTAACTTAGTGTTAAACGGCAAAAAAACAAAATCTATAAGGTTTTCACTTTCTAAGTCAAAAGAAATACTTAATACAGTCGTATCATTGAATAATGAAACGTTGTATTATGTAGATAGCACCGCCTTTTTTGGGTATTACAATATATGTATTTAAAATTACAGTGGGGCCCACATATAACAAATTTAGTGAGTAAACTAAGTTCCGCGGCTTACGCGGTTAGGAAAATTCGGCAAATGACGAACACACAAACGGCTCGACTTGCGTACTTTAGTTATTTCCATAGTCTTCTATCATATGGAATTTTATTATGGGGATACGAGTCTGACATTCAGCGAATGTTTGTTTTACAAAAAAAGGCGATTCGTAGCATTTATAATTTGCATTGTCGCGACTCAATAACAGAATTGTTTAAGGAAATTAAAATAATGACAGTGACTTGCCAATACATTTATGCCAATATAATGTACATACGAATATTCTCAGTACAGAGTACTAAAAAACCCGACCTCAAAAGTACGTGGAATTACGTCTATTTGCTAAGTTTTATTGAAATATCTCCTAGTTCGCCACTATACAGGACACTGGAGACGATAAAAATAGGTTCTCACTACGAAACTACTCAAAGTATATTGAGAGAAAAACGCCTTTAAGTGAAGAAATAGCAAAATCAAGAATTAAAGTAATTGCTTCTAAATTAAAGTTAGGCGCTATTTATAAAAATGAATCTTCATGCGTGAACAGCCACCCTTCGAGGTGGATGATTTTCTTCAAAATGAAATGGGACCACTATGGAAGTACCCCCTTTCCAACAAAAAAAGAATCATGAAAATCGGTTCACAAATGATCAGAGTTATCGCGTAACATACATACAAAAAAAACAACATACAGTCGAATTGAGAACCTCCTCCTTTTTTGAAGTCGGTTAAAAATATCCCTTTATTCCCCGAAAACGACAAAATACACTATTAATACACAATTTTAATTTAAGAAATAAACAAACTGGCACTATCACAATTTAGATTGCATAAAGTAAACTCATCTTTCATGGGAAACTGTGTGCGCTTTTATAATAAAATACCAGGTGAAGTAACCCAACTGTCAGAGAAGAAATTTAAAAAATATTAAAAATGCGCTGTTAAATAAGAGCTAGCACAGTGTTACTGATTATATTCAGGATAAAGATGCTAGGAATTCATCTCCAGCGGACACTTGACGTACCTATTTAACACTTGCATAGCAGTAACAGTAATGACAATGTCTAAGGGTAAAATTATTTTATTTTTTGTTTTTATTTACTTTTAACAAAAACAATGAGTGATTGTTGTTGTCATTGTAATCAATTTGATGATTTCAAGTGTAATATATAACTGCCTCCGTGGCCGAACGGTTACCATGCCGGACTGCCACGCAGAGGTCCCAGGTTCGATTCCCGGGCCGGGAGAAATATTTGTATGGCCTACATTTATTTCTCTCGTGAGTTTGGGTGTAATTTGTGGTTGTCTATGTGTGTGTCCATGGCACCCGCGACACAGGGTTTCCCTAGTGCGGGGCTATGTTGAATGTGTGCGTTATTATTATTATTGTTATTAATTTGTTTACCTACGAAATAAAAATATTTTGAGTTTGAGTTTGAACGATGGTACCACGACGGTATCCAGACTCAGAGATAATACAGAAAATTTAGTGTCTACATCGACCGGGCCGGGGATCGAACCCAGGGCCTCAGACATGGCTATACTATTGTACTTCGTATTTTTGTAGTTTTTAATTTTAATTAATATTTATAATAAATAGATTTTCATATTGGGATATTGATAATATGATGCACGAATAACTCAAAAGGACGGCTAATTTCCATACAATCGTAACTCTGAAAAAGGTCAAAATTCCAACTTTTACATCTAGATGGCGCTGATCAGTAGCCTGGAAATAGTTTGTTTATATTATGTACATGGATATCAATCAATTCCTTTATAATATATAATACAAGTACAGTATCGGCACGCTATGATGGCCGTTTTTTACAGATTACAATGGTGATTTGAAATCTCAATTCATTATCAAAAAAAATATAATCAAATGCGAGTCACATCTATAAGTTTTTAGATTTGTGACTAGTATTGCAACGGGTAGCTGATTAAAAAGTTTTAATAAAACGAAAATAAAAATGTTTACTTAATAATCGTCAATTCCAAACTGCTTTGTTTTGCATTGAGCTTTGACGCGAGTTTGCCAGAGGTAGAAGTTGTGCTGGCCAGTGATTCCATAATTGACGATCATTTGAATTGTCGAATTTCGATAAAGAGTTGTCGAGTTGTGTCGTAAAATTATACATCAATAATTTTACTGCACGTCACTATTGACAACAATGTACAGCAATTAGCTCCTTCAACGTAGTTGTTTTTATTCCAAATTACAAAAATAAGTAGCAACCAGCCCTCTACACTTAACAACCATGACAACCACAGAGGTTGTGGGCACCTTCGACGACCCACACTTGTTGACGACTATTTGGGACTGCAGTGAAAAATGCTTGTTTGTGGATTCTTCTTGAGCTTCTTGGTCTTGCTTGGATCGCTGTCAGATTTGGAGTGCCGTCCTTCTGCCAACGCTCCGTCTTTTATACTGTTGGCCTGCCTTTTTTTAAGGATATTTTGCAGTTGGCCGCTCATGGCCTCGACTGCGCCACTGGATTAATGTTGCCCTGCCATACCGCTCGCATTCTTTTATAGTGTGCGATCGGGTCGGCACCAATGTAGGAGCGAGACGGGAGAACTATAAATATTCCAAGCAACACCCGCCTGCCTCTAATTTTTTTACTAAAAATTATAAGTGTAAGACTTACGACTAATATGTACAATAGTCAATTACAATCAAAAGAATAAAAACATGAGCGCGCACACGTCGTCAGCTATACTAAACTTTCAGCGGCTACTTTAATACAAAATAAAAACTGATAGACATAACATTAATGTGGGGAATAAAAATAAACTAGCTGTTCTTGACAATCGTCTTCGCAAAGTTACAAAGTTATTTAAAGGGGCAATGTACGCAAATTCTATAATAAGATGCCGCGGTTGATATTATCAATGTGCCCACTTACGAGAATTAAAACTATAGTGAAACTGAAACTTAATGTTATTATTATAAAGGCCGGTGTCTCGTCGTGTAAGGAGGTCAAGGAGCTGGCTTGTAGGAGAGATGTCTGGAAGAGGCTCCACCGACAAGAGTATTATAACTCTTAAGTTGATGATGATGAAAGTTATTATCAGCTTCTAAGGTTTAAGCCATAGTCCGTGACACTGGCCTAATGGGGACTTCACATGTTTTCCACGGGTTGTGAAACTTCTTCGACGTGCAGGTTCCTTCACCGAAATGCTCATGGTAAATTTCAAATCACTTTCTCCTTGTGAAAGAGTTCGTCCAGGGAAGTACTGCCACTTTATCTATTTGTGCCGCCAAACAGTAATGAGAGCATTGAAGGCAGATGGGACTTGTCAACTTATGTCTCAGGGTGACGGGCACTATCATAGTGCCCCTCAGATATTTGAGATTTATAGCACTGAGTGTCACTGTAAATGTTATGGACAGACGTGTCGCTTACCTTACCTTAGTTTTTATTTTAAAAACAGCATGAAAATACTGTGATGAATACTTAATTTTTAACCGACTTCCAAATGAAGAAGGAGGGTTTCAATTCGACTGTTTATTTTTTGTACAACAGTATACGCGATAACTCTGGAGACAATATTCCACCGCAAAGGGTGGCAACTAGGGTATGAACGCGGTTTCGCGCACTTCCCGGTAACCGATGTCAATAAAACTTGGCAAATATATATGCAATTCCACGAACTTCTGAGATCGGTTTTTCAGTATTCTGTACAGAGATTATTTGAAATTGTGTTTTGAAACCTGTAGGGTACAGCTTATATAATAACGTGACAACCCTTTGGGTACGGGAACAAGCGAGAGTTGCACAAAATAAATTTAAGAAAAATGTATAGAGATAGTGTTACCTTAAAATTGCCCCCATTTAGCCACGCGATCAAGGCATCGAGTAATTGCGCGGCGAGATCGTGCGTTATTTCAGGCTCCTTCCGCACAAGCGCGACGAGCTGCTCGCCGAGCTGCTGGCGCAGGCGCAGGTCCGGCCGGGAAAGCAGCGGCAGGGCCGCTTCCAGCGACGCCGGTTGCGGGTAGTGCGCCATCTGAGCACGACAAAAAATATGTACAACAACGACCAAAGTATATGCATGTTTATAATGCCTGTTGTTGAAGATTCTCCTTTCATGGCGGCACTTCACATGCCTACTTTTATTCGCTATTGGATTTTTGATGTACTTGGAAAAATATTTGACGTACAGACAAACACGCGGACACTGACAAATATGCCTCACTTGGACTCAAATAAGAAAATAATAATAATAAAAAGCTTTATTTATATACATTGAAATAACAACAATTTAGCTTTAAACATCGAGCATGTAATCAGAAATAGAGACAAAATAAGGGCCATCCATCCCATGTCACTTTTAAATATCAACTCTCATTTCCGCTGAAATCACAAATTAGAAAGCTGAAATAGTGCAGCGCCAACAACTGACTTGTTAAAATATTTATTGTCATAAAGATAATATCTCTAACAATGGGATTTATTCGGAGGTGTGGGAAAAACAGTTTTTCTGTTGTAAACGTCTAATTACAAAACAAACGGAATCACATTTCATCGGTAATTTAATATTAAATATATAATTTTGCAATTTTCCCGCTGAAGTTAAACTGGTCGACTTGGAATGAAACAATTGACGACAGCTATCAATTGTTTCGAATTCCGGCTGGCCAATCGGAGCGTAGTTGTCACAGTAATGATTTGGCAGAATTAAGTTCAAACAAATTAAATAACATTAAATTTACTATATAGATTTTAAGACTTTCGTGGTTATTCACTAAATGATTAACACTAGTATCAGGTTTCTTACCACGGTATGACTTCTTTTTATTTTCCCGATATTTCGGAACGGTTGCACGCTCCATGGTCACGGGTTGACTCTATTTTATTAAATTATTTCTATTATATTAAATTTACTTTCTATTTCTGGTTCTATACTCGAATACATATAAATAATATAAACAAACAATATAATCTAAAGTTACACATGTAGATAAAAAGGTAAGAGTCTCAGTTGGAGCAGTTTCTTTTGGAATTTTGAACAGAATTTACCTTTTAATGATATTCCCTGCATTTTAGATTAGTAATAAAATAATATAACCATAGTGTGGAGGGTTTACTAGCGTATTTGTTCATTTGGCTCATTTGAAGTGCATCGAGAAACCAACCAGTGCGCGTTATCGCGAGTTTGGTGTTTGCTCTACTTTGCCGAATAGGCAAACAAGGCAAATATTTTGTCATACTTGCTATCTACGTACATGGTGATTGTTTGCTAAATATACGCAAATACAAACAGCCTTGTGAAGTGTCACCATCAGCGAAGAGTATCAGAATTCTTTGAAATACACACGAGTGCACACTCACACAAGACAATATTACATTACCAATTTATTACCGTTTTCATAATTTTCAATTTTTATTTGTACAGTACCTACTGTAGCTGCAGACTAAAGCTCAGAAAATTCTATTTTAGTCAGTGGCTGTATAGTTTTATAAGCACTGGCCTTCTTCCAAGTAACATGTTATACTTAGTATTTACCTAGCTTTTACATAATGTACTTTACCTATGTAAGGCTTTGTTGAACAATAAATTATTATTATTATTCACCGGTAAAATTTTGAATAATACACGCATGTCTTCCTTAACTTGACACTGGCGGATTATCGATTGTATTTATCGATAAAATCGATGATTCCACCAACAGTGTAACTCTATAACATTTTAAACATGAAGAAGATTTAAATTCAACTACATTTTGTCGAGTTCTGTTTTTTTTTTGCGATTTATTTGCGATTGTTACAAATAGGAAATGAAATTTCTTTTTCGGATCTAAAGCTCGTATATTTGTTTTTTCGGGCCTTTACAGGTCCAGTGAGACCACGAGACCTGTTAAAGGTCCGAAACGTTAGTTAAATTGTAAAAAAAAACACGTGTTTCAGATCCGAAAAACTAGTTCCGACTATTTTGCTTATTTTGCATTCAATCGAAATAATATCGTGTGATGTTCTATGTAATATGTGCGGGTGTGTTTGATGAATAAAGTCCTATTTAATTTAATTTTAATTTACGAATTAATGTACAAACGGAGTCAAAATGAGAAGCCGTTTCACCGACCGTACATTGTATAGTATGCATATAATTTATTCAATACATCAGTCTTGTATCAATGCTCTGTCGTTTCACTTATGTCCATACCTTGGCTGGGTTGTCAGGAATCGAACCTGGAATCATCTGATTATTCCATTTTTTTAGCCCCAGGAAGTCAGTTGTATCACCGTACTTTGTATATGCACGTAATTTAATTGATAATCAGCCTTACAAAAGTTGTGGTAGACCAATGGTTTGATTTACAGCCTAACAAGTAGGAAGGACGTGGCTTCGAATACGGATTTGCACTTCTGAGTTTTTCGAAATTTATGTGCAAAATTTACCATGAGTTTACTCTGCTTGATAATTAAAATAAAAAAAGTTTTGCTCACCTCTTACGATTGTTGTTTGTCACCAAAAT